TTCTTTTAAATGTAGAGAAAAGATAGGTGGGGGCCTACGGCCTGTGACCTTCAAAGGGAGAAACTCAAGAGGGAGAGTGGGTTCAGCAAAATGAACTGAATTGTGACTAAGTCCGGGGAGGTGGCCATGGGGACACATCTAAAGGAGCTATTGTAGTTTTCATGGCATGTTTGGTTTAGAAAAGAACATGTACAAAGATAGAAGGGAGGGAACAGTACCAAGGACAAATTGAGTAGAGTGACACATTTCTGTAAGAATAGTGCCCAACGTGAGCCAAGATCTGCAAAAAAGAAAAAAGCTAAAGTTGGCGGAAAAAAAAAAAGTGGTGGTAGTGGATTATTTTTGGTTATGAGTAAAAAAGGGATGAGGCCAATTACTTAGGGATCATGAGAACATGTTAACAGAGGACAGAGAAGGTGGAATGACCCAACTCCGGCTTCATTATCTGGCCTTTCCATAAAAGCGAAATGGCCTTGACTGGGAAGATTTAAAGCAGCATCATTAGAACAGCCCTGGACACGATGGCAGGGGATGTGACATGCCAATAAGTGGTGTGTCCTCTTAGCCACTTTACGTACAAGTCTCCAGGACCTGCCGTCTCCGATCCCAGGCCCTGGACAATTCTACCAGAGCCAACATACTTGATCTCTGAAAAAAACTACTGGAAATGGGGAAGTGTTCCAAAGACTGTCATCAGCATATGTTCTAATTGACCCACGGGGGGAAGATACAGCTCCTACTCTGTGGACCAATACACCCAGCACAATTTTAATACAAGTGTAACTTAGAGAAGGTTTCTAAGCCCTTGGAAAAGGATGGCCATTGAGAACTAGCATAGGTTTGAGAAAAACAAGGCAGACCAAACAACGCTATTGGCTACACCCCCACCTTTTGCTACCGAAGGGCACAAACAGGGGAGGCCCCAGTTACTACGTATCTCGAAGCAAAAAACACCGGCTCTGTGACTCTTTCGTTTGACAAACAGTCAGTATGGGCAGTATAAGGACCGGGCTCACAGATCCTGTGGTTGGACCTTGGCCACTTTTGAATGGGAGCACTCTCCCGTCTCTCTGCCTTTGTCACGTAGTGTTCCTGCATGTGGAATATGTATCCCTTGGTCTGGCTGTTTGTCCTTCAAAACTCAGCTGACATTGCACCTCCTCTGGGAAACTGCCTCTCCTTCCCAGTGTGATTTACGAGTCCCCGCGAAGGTCTTGTTGTATTCTCCCAAATTCACACGCTGGCATCCCCAACGTGAAGGTGGAAGAAGGTGAGGCCTCTGGGAGGTGCTTAGGTCGTGAGGGTGGAGGCCTCATGGATGGGATTAGTGCTTTGAAACAAGAGACTGCACAGAGCTTCCCAGCACCATCTGCCACATAAGGATGCCATGTGAAGACACAAGGAGAAATCTGTGACTGGAAAGAGGGCCTTACCCCACAGTGCTGGCACCCTAATCTGACTTCCAGCCGTCAGAACTGTCAGCAATACCTTTCTGCTGTTTCTAAGCCACCCAGACTGTGCTGTTTTGTTACAGCAGCCTGAACGGACTAAGACAGCCCCTTATCCATGTTTGCCAAGCGCTCCTGGCACTCTGCTATCACAGTGCCCTTTCCCTGGGTTACAACTGACAGCTTCCTTATCTGCCTCCCCCAGTGCCCGCAGGGCCTGAAGGGGGTGTGGCTCCAAAGCCCAGCACAGTGCCAGGCACACAGGGGGCCCTGCCCTCGACACACAATGATTCCCTGCAGGAGTTCTGCTGAGAGGTTCAAAGTCAGCCTGAAGGGAGTTGTCTCTAATTGTGTTCCCTGGGCTTCTCCAGGTCTATACTTTTATCAGTGACTTGCTAAATGATGTACTCTCAGAGACTATAGAGCTGGGAAAGAAACAGAATTAGATAAAAAGCTCAAGGTTCAAGATCTAACAAATCTGCAGGCTGGCCATAAAACCTGAACACATAGATAACTTTTTTATATAGATTAATTTTTTTTATTTTTCTGTGGCATGCTAAGGCACAGGTTTTTTTTTTGGAGGGGGTGTGTGAAAACCAGAGACAGCTCATCTGAGGTAAAGCATCGCAGCTGAAATATGCAGGCACTGATGAAAATGCTGCATTAATGCACCAAAGTCATTGCAATTTTGTACAGTGCTCTGAACTACGCATTTGCTACTAAAGGATAATCTGTTGACTATCATGTAATGTCACTGACCATTATAAAGTAATAAGGGTAAGCCATTTATTACATGTGCTTTCATGTTTCCAAACTTTCTGGCTACTCTGTAGAAAGACAACTGACAACCAACAGTACAATTTTAATAAAAATATTCATGAAGCTTTATATTAGGTCTCAAAAAGATCAACTGGATGTCTACAGTGTGGGGGAATATCTGTTTTTATCCATCCACCCATCCATCCATCCATCCATCCATCCATCCATCCATCCATCCATCCTGAGCATTCACTATATGTCAAATACTGTACTAGGATCTAAACATTTAGTGGAAAGTAAACACCGCCTTCCCTAAGCTTCTCTCCTCATAGAAGGAAATGGATAATAAGGAAGCAAACTGAACCATTTCAAATGTTGATGACAGCCATGATTAAGATAAAGAACAGCTTGGTGGCGCCTGGCCAGCCATTAGCGTGATGTGAGTTTAGGGTGCGCTGTGACTGTTCAGAATAAACTGCACGCTGGGTCATATTAATAGAAGCAGAGTGGTGAGGTCAAGGGCAGTGGCAATCCTGTTGCCTCTGTGGCATCCACACCACTTGCGGACCAATTCCTGCAGTCACTAGTGCTGTTCTTTAAGAGAGTCATGGAAGTATCCAGAAGAGGCATCTAGAAACCACGTCTTGTGAGAGGCCACGTTGAGACACTAGGGAAGTTTAGTTTGCAGAAGGAACCACTAGGCAGTCATCTTTAAAATATCCAAAGGTTCAAGATGTTCAGAAGAGAATGAGTCCATGCTGTGCGACTTCAGGAGTCCACACCTGAATTATTGAGAAGACAGCACGATGCAGTTCAGAAGATGGGAGACATTTCTAACAGAAGTAGATCTATACAGAGATGGGATAGGCTTTTTGAAGACGTCGGCACTTGGCCTTCAGGAGTATTCCAGTAGAGGATGGGTAAACTATTAAAAATGAGGGATTCCCACATGGGGCAGAAGATTCCCTTCAAGGACACAGCTTTGGCAATGGGTACAGTCTTGTTTGAGTGGAAGATCTCCTGGTCTTAATGCCAAATCATCTTTAAAATGTTTGAGCCTCAAGCAACAATCATGCCAAGTCCTTTGGGTCCCTCCTTCCTCTAAGAGCTTTTGTGTCCTTGGAAGAGTAGCCTCATGAAGGTCAGAGGCACTGATCTATCTTTAGTTGTGGGTGTCTCTTGCCACGGGGGCAGAGTGACATCTTCATGGGAGGCCTAGGTGTTGCAGGAAGATGTGGACTCCTGGCCTTCTCTGCCCTCAGCAATAGTGAAGTGATGGAGACGGGACCCTTGGAAGGCCTATCTTGTTATTAGAAGCAACCTCTACTCACCAGTATTTCAGAGACCCAACCCATGGGGACCAGGAATTATGTCAAGGCTCCTTCCCAACAACAGAATTCAACTAGAAATGAATGCATGGTCCTTTAGCTCAAGTATCCTCTTTGTACGTGTGTGTTGGCATGTCCGTGTAGGTAAAGGTCTCTGAACTTGTCACCTCCCAGTCTCAGGCGACTGTACCTTGAGGCCCAGATCAAAGGCTCATTTCTATCTAGAAGCACTGTAGCGCTTCCTTATAAGGCATAAGGCCTCTCCGTTTCTCTGGAATGTGGATTTATCTCGGTCAGACAGGTGTTCCACTTTCTGCTCTAAGTGCCCATTTTAGCCTGTGTCTTCATGGAAAGGTTTAATTGAACTCTAAAGAGTACATACCCAGTTTAATTGCTCAACATAATCATTTTATGATTACAATGTGATAGTATATCAGTTCTGTCTCTATCCATATTTGATCTGCTGGAATAGAAACTCAATCAAAACCCATTAAGATTAATGCTTCTGGCAGTGATTAACTTGAATCTCAGACTAACATAATTTTTGTCTATTTGCCTTGTGAATAAAACAGAACACATGTTTTCTTTCAAGGACAGAGGAGAACATAGGACACAAGGCCAGTGAAAAAGCCTACCTGAGCCACAGACAACAAAAACAAACAGTGCCAACAGCCATGGTCCCACAGGGTACTTCTCTTCCTGCGGCCTCTAGAAGAGAATAAGAGAAAGGGAGAGTAGGTTCATTAATGCAGAAAACATTTGTTCAGTACTACCAGTCACTGTCACAGGGGCTGGGGCTACTACCACTGGGAACAACACAGACCCTGTCTCAAGGCCCAGTGGGCGCTACAGATGAGTAAAGTTAACTGTAAAGGATCAAGATAGGTTTGGAAAAATTCATCGATACCCTTATTTACACCTGTAACTCAATGAACTTGGTGGTCCTAAACACGCTGGGGACAGGATGTAAATACACAAAACCCATACAGGGATTGGGAGCCCCAAGTGCGATTACTAACAACTGCTTCCATTTGTTGAAAGCACACTCTCTGCCAGACAGCATACGAGGCAGTCTACACGGACTATTTACGGTGCTCACGACTCCACGCAACTCCATTCTGTAGCTGATAACTGAGGCTCACATTTGTTAACCTGAGCAAGAGCTGGCATTCCAATTTAGGTCTGCCTCATTACAGAGCTGGGTGTTTTCCACCCATAGATTTGTCTTTAATTCCCGCATCTGTAGGGTCGTGGAGTACAGGCATGTTCTCAAAACCACCTACGTGCCAAAAACTTGGGGAAGGCAGTGCAGTGGACATCCTTAGAAACGCAGAAACAGCTGTGACTGGACGTGAGGAAAGCATCATTTTCTAATCAAGTTCCTAAGCCTTGGTGAAGCTGACACTTTGGACAAATGTCTGCATTCCTCAGGAAGCAGAGGGGGACAGCTGTACCCACACTGGCCTCGTCCTGGAGACCTCCTGTTCTTCTCAAACCAGAAGCACAGCTGTAGTAAGAACATCACTCTGCAGCCCCTCTAGGTCTATTTGCAGGTAGGGCTTGGTCCCTAAAATCAAATCAATTGATGGAAAAACAATTATTTTCCGAGCGGCATCTGAAAAAGCCTCTCAGAAAGGGAGAGGGTGTAGAAAAAAAAGTAAAGAACACACTAAATATTTGCTGATTAACGTGAGTCAAAAATAGGCTAAAGCCTATATAAGTTAAACAACTCAGTTTATTGCAGATAAGGCCACAATTGTTTCGTTCACATCTTACCTGGTATATTCTTAGAGAGCCCTCTCTCTCTTCTACCTCGACTGGGTTCACTCATCACTTGTACAGCTGTGTCCTTTTTCTTGCTATTTATCACAGTTTGTATCTCTCTGATTATTCTTGTGATAATGAGTTTAATGCCGGTCTCTCCACTGGGCTGTAGGCCCCACAAGGGCAGGCACTTTCTCTTTCAAGCATCAATGTATAGCAATGCTGGGTATACAGAACTTAAACAATAGATGTTCAATCAATGCTCACTGAAGAATGAGTAAGCATATAAGCTTCATTAAACACGATTTCTCATGTCAGGTCAAGACAGGGTCTAGGAAGGGTATTGTCTTTTCTTTATCATACTTCCTAGTGAGTGATAGGCTTATCCCTGCATTTTTCTTACTAGAGAAGTATGGATTAAGTGTCAGTGGCAGGGAGACTGACTAAGGATTAAAACCATTCACTTCTGCGTCCTTGACAAGCTTGTCTATACCACCGCTCTTGCATGAGGGCAAGTCACATGCAAGGGAAGAGGTGCTTGCTCTTGACCAGACAAGGTCAAAATCAGCCTTAAACAACCGCTTAAGGTAACTTTAACCAGCATTCTTATTGTGTCATTCTTTGGCATTTAAGACCAGGTCAAGGTCAGGTCAAGTACATAGTAGTGATATTAAGTCGTTACCGAACAGAATGTGACATTTATCCTTCCCCACCCTGTTGCACCAACTTCCTACACAATTTGTTACAGTTGACCAGAAGTCAGTTCTGTTGCTGTCACCCTACTAATGTTATATAAGACATTCATTTTGCTCTGTCTCCAGCAAAGCCAACAAGTGAATCCAGAAGGCTGTAAATGAATTATTGGCCCAGTCAGATACCAGAGGAAGTTGTTTATTTTTCCATTGCGGAAAAACACATCATGCAGGGTTGGAACAAAAACCTTTTTGATGACATTTCCTAGTGAATCAATTTTATTTGGGGATTTTCAGACTCAAAAACACCTGGCTGGTCATAATACCAATACATCCTTTTCTGAGAGCTTTAAGTTACATTTTTGGAAGGGGTGCCCAGCACAATCTCATCGAGACAATTCACCTCCACGTGAATCTATTACTGAGAAAGGTAAGAAAAGCAGTAGAATCCTGCAAATGACATGGTTCATTTCAAAAAGGAGTTTGCCACTTCCTGAGGCTCCAAAACGTCAGGGGATGACCTTCCCTGTGATAAATTAATGGCAGGGTAACTCAGAACTCTGAAATTTAAATTCCCTTTTCATTCTGGAAAAGTTATTATACTACTGTATAAACATGAAATGATGATTCCATTTCTGTCTCTTGGCTCTATCTGCTATCTAGGAGAATAATATTGATCAACTCCATAGCTATTAGCTAATAATAATATACCAAAACATTTGCATACAATTAAAAGTCTTTATTTCCCAATGATTAGTCTGAATTTTCAGTTAGAATCTGTTAATCTGTCCCCATTTACTGAATTTCATCTGAGTAAGTTATCTCTTACAAGTCAATTTTTTCAAAATAGAATCATGTTTGGCCTGTAACTAGAAAAATAAAATTTAGGATTTAAAGCATTTCTTTTTCAAAGAAAATTTCATTTTTCTTTTCGAATGCTGATCCATTTATAACAAAATTAACCAAAAAGCCCTTATAACCAATAAAAACAAACCCTTTTATTACAAATTTAGTAGGGCCATTTTAAAACCCTCATAGGAACCAGGCACGTTTGAAGAACCTGCTCGATGGTATATCAGAACCTATTAAAAGGCAGTCACACCGTACATTAAATGTAATTTGAATGCAGCTCTGAAAGTTGAGCTGAGTGGAACTGTAGGTGACTACATTCTCTAAACATTTAAATAGCTTTTTCTCTCATTTTTCCATTTCTCTTCTTATTTGGGAGCCACTAGCTTTTGTTTCAGCTCCCAAACATTTTCTGGTGGTCCTGAAAAGCTACAGGTGGCAGACACCGAGTTCACGAAGTCTAACAGATCAAACAGCTCTGCAAATTAGGCCCTGTCTTGTTACTTTTACAGTTAGGTAAGATGTCAACTTAGTTCATTTAAAAACTGAATTCTGGTTCCTTAGTTCATTAAAAAGAACTGCACATATAGAGATGCTCAGGACATCAGCTGGTCTGTATGACGCGTGTATCCCAAAAAGAATTGATCTCCTACGGGTATAAAACCCTGAATGCTTAAACATCAATTTTAATTGTCAATGTCAATTTGGACAGCAAGTTTTTTTGTCTTTGTTTTTTTTTTCTGAGTAAAATAAATAGGGCAAACATAGATCTATGTGAAAAATGGTTCAATTCAATGGCACACTGGCATTTCGCTGGCCAATCGTAGCTAAGTGATCTAACTCCCAAGTGAGAATTTCAAGCATGACTTAAAGACTGGAGCTGTGCATAGAGTCCTGAGTAGAGCTGAATTTGGTCCAAAGGTTTCCCTGCCATCGTACTGTTCAGTTTTGCAAGAATTCTGGTGTAATGATTGTAGATCCAGCTTTTTTTGCTTAGTTTATCAAGCCAGCATCGTTTCTTTGGCTAAAAGGAATTGCCTCACCAAGCCTGCAAGCTTCTCCAGCCAAACCCCAAGCTTCAGCCGGACTTCTTCTAGTGCCTGGGATAATAAATTCCAGGTGCCTTTGCTCATAGCCTGGGAGACTCACATTGCCCAACCACACACCCAAGGCACGCCTCTGAATGTCTGAAATCATAGGCGTGGCCTTTTCGGTTGAAGGTAATTTGCGCTGCTAACAGAAACGCCTGTGCAGATTTTACTTACACGTCGTTATAAAGCTTTAATCTACAGTTTTGGGGGCACAGAATGCCTGGCAATAAACTTGTCTCTAAATAAAGTTCTGGGTCATCCCATCAGATTTGAGCCTGAAATTCACAGGGTGAATAAGAGGAAAGTTGCACTGAAACTTTAGACCAGCGGTGAGATGCTTCCCTGGAGAAGAGACAAAATAGGAGGATGGAGGGACGTATGGGTCTGAACCCCATCCCCTCTTCTAGCTTACTTATACAGGCAGACTACTACAAAGGGGCTGGAAAGAAAACCTTATCATGGTGTGTGTCTGTTGCGGATGGAGGGCAGGGGTGAAGCCTGGGAGGGGGAGATGATAAATGGCTCTCATTCATTCATTCATCACTTAGTAACAAACGTTACTAGGTTCTAGGCCGTGTCAAGCAGGTGCCTTAACTGTGTCCATAACTACGTGACTTTCCGTCTTTCCCAGGGACAAAGGCCCCATTCTTTCCTGGGGAGGTTCTTCCTCGCCTCAGTGGTCGCCCCAGCAGCCCTTCCCACAGGGGTCACAAGCAACCGGGGCCCTCTGTGCCCAGAGCGCGCCGAGGCGTCTGCACCGCCCGGAGCCCGGCTCTGGGAGCCCCGCTCTGCGGGACCCCGCCCGAGGGGCGGGCCGAGCGCGGAGGAGACGGGAGGCCGGGCCCGCCCCGCTCCGGCCCTGCCCGCTCGGCCCGCGGGGCGCCGCCGGTGCCTTACCAGGGTTTTGGCTACGTTCCCCCTCTGGGTGATGTTTTTGCTGTGCTTCTCGTTAGCCATCCGGATGCGCTGTTTGGCCACCATGGCTCGGGCTCTCGGAAGTGCTCTTCACGTCCACCTGCAAGGATCCCCCGCGTGAGCCCCAGCAGGGCCGAGCGCGTCCCGCCCGCCCCGGGCGCTGCAGGTGGCCAGGCGCGACCCCACAGCCTTGCGCACCCCACTTCCCAGCCCCCGCCGAGCCGGCTCCAGAGAGAGGCCAGAGCCCGGAGCCCGGACGGAAGTAATCTTTCATCTCAGGAAACCCTCGCCTACTTCCTCGCCATCCTTCCGGTCCTCCCAGCCACCTAGCCAGCGCGAGCTCCCCGCACCCGGCGGCGGGGGCGCAGCGCCGGGCCGCTCTGCCCTGGGCTCTGCGGTCGGGGGCCCGCAGCCGAACGCCGCGGGGCCAAGCGCTCTGGCGGCCGCGGGCTTCGTGCGCGCACGGGAGATGGGAGCGCACGGTTCTTGGGGCTCCTCGGCCGGGGAAGGGGTTGGGGCAGCCCCGCTTTGACCCGAGCCGTGCGGTTTCCCCGACACCGATGCCCTGCAGCTGAGGGCGGGATAGAAGGCGGCGGCCGGGGCGGACGGGTCTTCAAAAGACAAGTAGAACCAGGACAGGGCTGGGCCCTTGCTGTTGGGGTCAGTCCAAAGGAACCAAGGCAAGAAGGCCTGCCCCAACTCCATCGCCGCACCCCCTTATCCCCATCCCTGGGGAGATCTGGCCCTTTTTGCAGCACTTGAGTCACAGTCTCCCCAGGGTGGGGATAAGGGGGTGTGAGGATGGAGTTGGGACAGGTCTTCTTGCCTTGGTAGTCGTGGGAGTGACATGGAAGACAGGCCAGCGTGGGAGTGAAACTGGAGGAAGGCTGAGGAGATGCCGGGTCTGCAGCCCATGTCAGATTGGGTGGTCACTGCCCAAAGGTGCGGAGCTTTGCTCAGCTTTTGATCAGTTCGGCACCCCCCTCACCCCACCCCACATGTCAGAAGCAGCCAGGACCTCCTGCAACCATCCTTGTCCCCAGGGGACTGGGCTGGGAGTTGGCCTGCAATAGAGCGATAAGAACGCAAGCGTCTCTGTGACTGGCAGACTCTCCTATTAGGGCCTTACCGATTGCCTAGTCTAGGGGCAGGAAAAAGTGGTGCAGCCCTTTACTTTTCCACGTGCTGAACGGATTGGAGCCTAGAAGAGTTCAGGAGGAGAGGTGACACCTGGAAGATTGGGAGCAGTGGGAAGTGGTGGGGAAGAGGAGGTGTGGTTTTAGGCCAGATTTGCATGAGTGCACCCCAGTCCCTTCCTTGCTGGAGCCTGTGGCTGGGTTCCTGCAGGGTTTTGTGTGGGTACAATTCCTCCACATCAGTGGGAAGTTAGGGAGAGCTCCTCTCTTTTGGGGGCCCTTCCTAAGCTCACGCATCCCATTCCTCACTTCCTGTCATTCACACTTTCATACAGACTTTCTTGGGGCTGCTTTTGGTACATAGAAGGAAGCAGAATCTACCTGGGGTCATTGGTAAAGCCTGGTTATTTGTTTTTTTTCTATGCTAGAATTCATTTAAGTTTGCAAAATAGTTTCGATCGGTGTCTTAACCATTACCACCAACATCACCATCATTATTACAGCACTACAGACCAAACAGGCCCAACTGTAGTCTCATGCTTTTAATAATGATTGACTTTGGGAGGGGTGGAGGAGGGGGTGGAGGGGACAACCCTACCTGGGTGATGCTCGGCTGAGCCTGGCTGCGGTGTGAGGTCCAGCAAATATCTGGGCAGGAGGCAGAGGTAGGTTCCTGTCTAAGTGGACCAAAGACGTGGCTCTTAGGTGTTTCCGAGGTTAAGGAAGGGACAGAGATGGGTTTCCTTTTGGGCCTGGAAGCAGGAAATCATTCTTTAAGTGGGAGAAGCCTGCCTTCCCGCAGGCTCAGGTGAGCTGCCTTGTTTGGGAAAACCATTGTTCTTGACCCCTGACTCCTGCTTGATAGTGACCAATTGTACTCCCTTTCCGGCTATGCTTCACTTTTATAATATTTAAAATTAGTTTAATTAGAAACAGACTGTATTCTCACAGAAAACATTCAAACAGAAAAAAGATATACAGTGAAAAGTAAAGGTCTCCCTTTCCTTGGCTCCCCCCACAATTCCCATGGTTTCTCGGTTACCATTTTAGTAATTTTATTCATACACAAGCCTACCTGTATATTCCCTTTTTAAAAAACAAACAGAATCATACTATACACACTGTTCTGCCACTTGTGTTTTTCATTTAATTTATTGACAATGTGATCACATCTACTTATGTCATCTCTTTTTTTTTATAGTGCATAATGTCCCATTGTATGATCATACAGTAATATATTGAGCCTTTTTTGGACTGTCATTTCTAGTTTTCTGTTTTTATGGTTGCCGGTAATGCTTTAGTGAATATCCCTGTATGCGTATCTTCACGTACTTGTGCAAGCATGCATGTGCAGTAGATTGCCGGAAGTGAAATCGTTGCACCTTTGTGGGTCCTTCCGTAGAATCACTGCTGCTGTTTTGGGATGAGGCAGTCTCCTGCTGTCACCTCTACTCCTCCCCACCCCGTTTTGTCCCCTCCTCTGCAGGTCTTAGTCTTGTTTATTGCCTTAAGGATCACCATTGTTTTCTAAGAAAAGTTTCACTTCCTGTATGGACTCTGTCCCTTCCTGTCCCCTGCCATACACCAGATGCTGAGCGCTCATCTGCAAGGGACCAAGGTCTGAAGCTGTGTCCCGAGTAACCACTAGGTTAAGAGTGAGCCAGGCCTGGAGTCATCTTGCTTTTGTGAGGTGGGAGGACTTCTGGCTGAAGCAGAGGGGGATGGAAACTTGATCAAGTTAAAAGTTCCCTTGGGTTAATCCGCGCTGGCAGCAGAATTTTATGACATACCGGTAGCCTGCAGTGCTCAATCGCAGCTTCTGAAATTGCTTTGGGTAAAGTAGTAGGAAACTGCTAACTGCTTAAAATTTAATTTTGGCTGGTAAGTTTTTCAATTTTTAGGGCAAGAATTCCTAACAAGCCTCTGTACATTAATTAATGAGTCTGCCCCACTTAGGGTGCTGTACAGTGTAGGTCACAGCAGGAGACTACCTCATCACAAAGCAGCAGCAGTAACTCTATAGGAAGGACCCGCAAAGGTGTAACGATTTCACTTCCGGCAATCTATTGCACATACATGCTTGCACAAGTACGTAAAGATACGTGTACAGGGATATTCGCTAAAGCACTATTGGCAACTGCAAAAACAGAAAACTAGAAATGACTGTCCAAAAGAAGTTCACTATATTACTGTATGATCCTACAATGGGATATTATGCACTAAAAAAGATGACATGAGTAGATGTGATCATATTGTCAATAAATTAAATGAGAAATGCAAGTGGCAGAACAGTGTGTATAGTATGATGCTACACTACTGAGCTGTGATGAGTTGACACTTGTCATATTTCTGTGGCTGACCAGCATGCAAACTTCCTTTCTATTTGGGTCCCAACCCTGTGTGAGAGATGTAGGACCTTCTTTCCCACTATGGGAGCCCAACGGGGACAGATACTTGGCTGGGGGTATGACTCAGCTTGGCCAATCAGATGCTCTTGTTATGAAATTTTAATCTTGAGCGGGTAGTGTAAAGATAAAGGGACAAGTTAAACTTCACTCCGGTGGTGGGGTCCCCAAGAGGCAGGTAGTATTTCGCAGTGGAGGTGGGGGTGGAGTTGGTAGTGATGGAACCAGTTTTGGTGTCCTACTAATTCTGTGACACCTGAAAATAAATTCTTCTTTTGCTTCTACTGGCCAGAGTTCGTTTGTGTTGTTTACGTCCAAGAATACTGACTAATGTACATGAAAACACACAAAAAAACAAAACAAAAACAAAAACAGAATGTTCTTGGTCATTTCCCCTTCCAGATCTGGAATGATTCTCATGTCACTTGAAGTGTTCAGATATTGTTGGCTAGTAGCCTATCCAACTTACCTCACCAAGGCAAACTGAGCATAGAGACCTTGGTGACGGGTGCTGTGGGTGTCTAATTTTCTGTTATGGATGAGAGTTACTGACAGGCACAGCCTACATAAATAAAACCAGCAGGTCACTGACGCTTCAGATTAATACTTTCAGTTTCTTCCTCATCCAAGCCATTTCTAATACTGCTTGCTAGAGAAGAGGAAAATTTGGCAGATTTCAACATCGTCTCATTTTGTACAGATTACTTATATTCTGGTGGGAATGTCCACGAAGTTGTCTCAACAGTGGGCAGAGAAAAATAAGAAGAGAGCTGACAGCCAGTGTTATCTGCTGTATGCATTGGAATCCATTCAATGCACTAGATTATGATTTCGTAGAAACATGCCATGTTGTGACTGGAAGGAAACTCAGGGAGTCATTTGTTCAGTTTATTGAGTGTCTACTATATGCCAGACACTCTTTCAGACACTGAGAATTCAATGATTGGTACAAGAGTTTCTGTCTTGAGGGAGCTCTCAGCTGTGTGTGGGGTGAGGGAGAAAAAGAAGTAAACATTGGGAGACTGTCCTAATTTCACAAACGAGCAAAAGCCTAGGAATTGCAAAGGAAATTGTAGCAGAGCTGAATGCAGAATTGAGGCCCTTTGGCTTTCTGTTTTCTCAAAAGACACATTTACCAGGTAAACTTGAGCAGGAGCCAGGGTAACAGGGCTCCCCCCAGGCTGAGCTTTGGAGCAGCTTATATGTGCACAAAAAAATAAATCACACTCATGCATGCACACACACATGCATACTGCAGAACAAAGGCAAACTACATTCCAGACCTCTAAGGCTTGAGCTTTGGTCCATAAATGGTGGTGCAAGACAGACTTTAACCATTATGAAAACTATAGTTCCTTGACCCTAGAGGTGATCAGATTAAGCTTTAAAATTCAAAAGGTGATTGCTCATCTCCAGTCTGTAATTGCCTGGCCACATCTGTTATTAATAGCAGTAAAATCATCATATCCCAAGGGGGGAAAAACATACTTTGCTACAGTGCTTTCTGTAATGACCCTCTCTGCCCCCCATCTCCCCCCGCACCATCCCCCATCCCATGGCAATCCTCTTCATGGCTGAAGTGATGTGAGGTGTTTCCACATGTTCAAGCTCAGGTTATGGCCATGGATTACTCATGACCATACCCCTGCTATTTTCAGTGGTGATTTCAGGACAAAGCCACCTTGTTTCTGTTCAATTGGGTGCGTGTTTTTAATGGCTGGAAGAGTTTCCTGGCAA